AAAAAAAACACTCCCCCAGCAGTTTGTATTTGTGGATAGTAAATTTTCTTAGTTTACTTATATCCTCACAAATCAAACTGCTTCTGACAGCTCGCGAAGGGGTTTCGAAAAGTTGCAGCCCAATGCCGAAAAAGCGCAGATGATTTTTTTGTTACTGACTGAACTAGATCTGAAGAGCTCTTTACGTGTTCTTCCCTCTGTCCTCCACCGTTGACAATTTTTCACTAGTAGTGCATAAGGCACAATGTGATCTCCTCATCTAGGAATGTCACCTTATCGCATGTGCGCTGCGAGGCTAAATTTGGGGAAAAGAAACTATACAAGGCTACGAGACAGAAGAACTTTGGTGTTTCCAATCTTGAAAATACTGCTTTCCTATTACTTTACATCCATGAATAGATTAAAATATCACGAACGTAGGTGTCAGCCGCATGGTATCGCAGAGATACCAGATACAAAACGTTTAGAAATATTTATTCATTGGCTCCCATATTTTCATTACCTCATCATTATCTTTCTTTGTAAGTATTGACGAAAAATTAGATTAGACCTCATAGTTTCTCCATTTCTCTAGGGAGACAAGTATGCTGTTTATACTTGTAAAGCTAAAACGACAAGAAATCCGGTTTATCGCTGGCAAATTGGAGAAGGAGGCATCAATCAGTTCGCTTTTTCGGGCCAAGATGCAAAAATGCTGGCAACAGTAGGACATGTAGGTGTTTTGCTCCGGTGTATCTCGTTTATTCAATGCTGGCTTCAATAATGCGTCATTAAGGATGGATACTTGCGAATTTTCAATTACCATCAAATGGAACTACTTTCATACATGAAGTCTTATTTTGGTAATACAAGTTTTTTTTTTATATTGCAACCACATTATTTGTAATACTGCTCCGTAGGTGGTCTGCTGACACTTGCATGGAGTCCTGATGCCAAATTGATTGTGACAGGTGGAGAAGATGATTTGCTTACAGTCTATAACGTTCTAGAGAAGCGAGTTGTTTGTCGTGGACAAGGACATAAAAGTTGGATATCACAGGTACTTTAAGTTAATATCTTATGAAAGCAAGACATCTTTAAAAGTTGCTATGACATTTCCTTCGTTTACTTTGAATTAACATCTCCCAAATGGAATGAAAATTTTCTTTCTCGATAGACACACATCTGAAAGGTCATCGTCTGAAAGTAAGTTAGTATCTGATGCAAACCGTAGGTTGGAAAAGATTCCTGTTTTATAGATACAAATCGCAACAAAATGTAAGATACTATAGCAAAGGAAGTTGTTTATTGCTAACCTATCCGTTGTTCTTTCCGATACGAAGCTACTTTTACAAAAATAAAGAAAGCTATTTGAAAATAGCACTCATAAAAGCTTGTTCCCACAATCGCCAGAAAAATCTTCGCTAATTGGAGTAGGACAAATTTGGCTTGATGCTGACAAAAAATTTCTTCATTTTAGCTCCTTCGCTTCCTGCAATTCTCTAATACTGCCTTGCTCCATGAACGAAATCTGCATAGATGTCCATATTACTGCTTATTTCATATTTGCGCTTTTTCTGTTTCATAAAATAATGAAAAATCTTGAAAGATTGGTTCCAGTGGAATCATCACTGAAAAGTGGTTCTAGTGGAATTTCAGTAGTAAAAAGTTTTTCTCATGAGTAGCAAATGTCAGCAAATATTTATATAATACATCAATTCAATATACTCTTTGCATGATGCATACAGTGAGAATTCCATGCATTATAGCGATTCAAAGCGATCAGAACGCATCGGCCTGTTGAAAAAAATTTACCTTTTCTGCTCTTATCTCTTAGTATCTTTTTTTT